ATGTTACATTGTGTATAATTTAGATTATTGTTTAATTTATCTTTTGTATGGTATGTATCTATCACACGTATCAGATATCGCATACCAACATGAGTAGGTCAAGACTTTTCTTTTGTACCATAGGGTTAGTTATGATATCTAAAGTTATTTAACATGTGAAATTAATCAAAGTGAGGATAAAATGATACTCCACATCGTTGTTTCGGAATTCCTATAGGTGAGAAATTGTTGAATGTTGATGCTTGTTTTTTGTGGTGAACTGGTTCACTTCAACAGGTAAAATTAGGTTCAGATCTAGTCATCTAGATCATAATGAATTTGTAACTCTTAAGTTTATTTTAGTCAAAGAATTTAAACGGAGCAAAACAATTGAGACATCAATGAACTTCCAGCATGATTAGAGCGTGTGGCTGTTAACCACAAGGTCAAAGGTTCGACCCTTCTCTCTAGCGTTTTGATTAAACACCTTTTTTATGCCATTTAAAACTAAGCATAACTTAACCCATCAACGACCACTTATGGTTCTGAAATCAAGCAGCCACAAATAATTTTTTTTTTTTGGCTAAGCTATCGATAATACCATACAGAATGTACATTTCTTCATCTTTTTATCACAAGTATATATTTATATGACTACGTAGTGGATCAGAGGTTGTGGTTGGAGGTGAACCATGTTGAAACAGATGAAGCAAACGGAAATACATTACAAACAAACAGGGCAGTTTTAAGTCCAGACCATCAAGATTCTAACGTTTTTTCCTGCTTTGTAGATGCGTCGTGGACTTCACCAGAAACCAGAGCAGGATTTGGATGGATATTGAAAAATCCAGATGGTCAACCATTGCTCAAAGATTATGCCTCAACTGATCCAACATAAACTTCAATGGAGGCAGAAGTAAAAGCCCTCAAAGAAGCTGTTGTTCAATCTAAAATATGGGGCTTTCAAAGGGTAACGTTCTATGGAGATGCAAAGGAGATCTATAGAAAGCTTAGCAACCTACATCTAATCAATAAAGAAGAGGCCTAGCAGCATCATTATTTGACAACACATTTAAAGGACATTTGTTTCTTAGCAAAATCTGGGCTTTGTTATGACTTCAAATACATCAAAAGGACTGAAAATTTGGAAGCTGATGCTTTGGCAAGGTTTGCAAGGTCTGCTTCTCAAACTTATGTTGTCTCTTGGAACTAAATTGTATATGTTCAGATGTTATCAAGCTTTGTAACTGGTTTGTTTAAGATAATGGAAGATCACTTTGCCGACAAAAAAAAAAGAAGAGTATATATTTATATGACTAGGTAACGAGAGACATTAAGGATTTAATCATGAAGGTA